GTGTTAGCGTTCCACTAGATCCTAAATGCATATGCAATGAGTTAGAGCATCTAGTGACACTTTGATAACCGCATTCTGATACGAGTTTCACCCCTCTTAATAGTACGGCTATCGATCCTAAATGTGATCACACTCACTAAGTGTCTTGATCATCAAAACAAAATGGCTCCTACAATTTATACCTTTGCCTTGAGCCTTTTGTTTTTCTCTTTCTTCTTTACAAGTCCGAGCACTTGATCATCACCATGGCATCACCATCATCATGTTATAATCTTCATTTACTTCACCACTTGGAGTGTGCTACCTATGTCATGATCACTTGATAAACTAGGTTAGTACTTAGGATTTCATCAATTCACCAAAACCAAACTAGAGCTTTCAAAGATATTAGTTTGGAAGGCCAAGTAGTGCCTAGGAAGGATACCTTTCGATATTTAGGATCAATGCTACAGAGAGACGGTGATATTGATAAATATGTTAGCCATAGAATCAAAGAGGGTGGATGAAGTGGCGCCAAGCATCTAGTGTTCTCTGTGACAAAAGGGTACCACAGAAGTTAAAAGACAAGTTTTATAGGACGGCGATTAGACCTGCTATGTGGTATGGTGTAGAATGTTGGCCTATGAAAAGACGATATGTTCAATAGATAAGTGTCGTGGAAATGCGTATGTTGCGTTGGATTTGCGGTCATACAAGAAGGGATCGAGTTTGGAACGATGATATACGTGATAGATTAGGGGTAGCACCAATTGAAGAAAAGCTTGTCCAACACTGGGTGAGATGGTTTGGACATGTCCAACGGAGACCTCCAGAGGCACCGATGCGTAGTGGAATCCTAAGTCTTGATAGTAACGTGAAGAGAGGCAAAGGAAGACCGAAGTTGACTTGGGTAGAGGCAATAAAAGGAGACTTGAAAGGGTGGAATATATCCAAAGACTTAGCCTTAGATAGGAGTGCTTGGGAAACAGCTATTCACGTGCCTGAATCTTGATTGCTTCTGTTGGATTTCAACTCTAGCCTACTCTAATTTGTTTGGGACTTAAAGACTTTGTTGTTGTTGTTGTTGATGATGATGATGATCAAGGAATGAACAATTCATATGTTCCTGTCTTCATGAAACTCCGGTGTTTATGTTGTTTTCATTTATATGTGGATGATGATTGCATGTTTGTGTCTGCTGTCATTTCTTGTCAGACACTGGTCACAAAGTTCCATTCCTTATGTTCAAAATTGTAAGTTGGTTTAGCTTTCTAAAACAAACTTCTAAGTTTATAGAAAATACAAAAACATCTACAACATTATCAAGGTTGATTAGTTTGTCCATTTATTTGGTATTGTAATTGTTAATATATTTTTATGTAAACTAATGAATGTTAGATAAGCTTAACTTTGGATGAAACTAAATCTGGCTTTCAATTTCAAAACATAGCTCAGTAGTTTTCCTTTTTTTTTCCTTTTGTATTGGAAACATTTATTTTTTTTGTTACTCCCGCTATTTCAAATTATAAGACATTTTGTTTTTTCTATATTTCTATATATATTATTTTTACTATGTATAGACATAGTATATATTTAGATGCATGGCAAATATTTCGTATCCAGAAAAGCCAAAAACGTCTTATAATTTAGAACGGATGGAGTACGTATCTAATGTCAAAGTTAGATTAACTTGGGACGAAAGACTTTCAATTTCAAAATGGAGGGAGTAGTTATTTTTGTTTTACACATATGTATCGCTGTAGATTCTTGAAACTGGAGATGTACTTATTATTCTTGAAATAGGATCCAGAAGCTGTACTTATTTGATACATACATGGAATTGTAGGTTTTTTGAAATTTAATTACTCCAAGTTATACAGCTGCCGTTAAGCCCATGAAGGCTGTCATATCTTTGTCTCAGAAAACAAGGACAAATACGGCCCATGATTAAAGGTCTCCTCTTTTCTTGGCTGAATTCCCAATCCCAAATTCTCTGCGAAACCCCGCAAATTCCCTTCTCCGCAGTCCCATGATTCCATCTACCCTCCAGTCCAGTCCTCTATGGCAGCAGATCATGGGGAGCGCGAGCACTGCCCGGACGACGGATGTAGCACTGGAGATTGGGATGCGGATCCGATGGCTGCTATTGCGAGGTTGGCGCTCTTTGGTGCTTGCATCGGTCAATCCAATATCGGAAAAGAGTCGCACCACCAAATGGGGGATAAGCTGACTTCATAGTTTTTTTTGTGAGAATTTCAATGGATTGGGCCTCATTCCGTGTGGAACCCTAGGATTGAAGAATTTCAATGGCGGGTGAGAATTTCTTGTACTCCTTCCTCGGTGCGTACTGCATAGTAAGTTACCAACACATTTGGAAGCATCGAAGGTCTACAAGAGATTTTCCTCGGGTGCATCATCACGACCAGCGTGATCGGCTGGCCAGCCCCCTCACATGGATACTATTTACATAAACCAGCCAGCAGTACTTCTCTTTCATATAAACGAATCAGCAACGATATGAAACAGCCAACCGAACAGGCTGGATCAATGACACGGGCATTGCAAAGTTCCAAACTTCCAACAGCAAAGTTCAACCGTGGCATTCCCAATGCAATGCCCACATCGAAGGGCGGACAGAGTAAGAGGAGTAGACGGTTGCCTGTTGGCTGGCCTTCTGCCCCGCCACTTGCACTTGCAGCTGTAGGTTCGCCGGACTTGACAGACACACTGACGCCCAGATCACTCGTCGGACTTGGCAGACACACTGACATGTGTGGTCTAAAGTTTCTGTGAGGTTGGTTAAACTTTAGACATTACTTTATACCTCTTGTTTGAAGCCTTAATAAGAATTAAAGTAATCTAAAGTTTAATGGCTAAACTTTAGACCAGAGAATCTAAACCGGGCCTTAGTCTCAGACAAAAATACCGTTTTACCCCTATAGTTTATTTCTAGTCATGTTGTTGCCTTTTGCTGGTTATTGCTGTTTTTTTGAAACTAAAACTAGAAAGTCACATGTCTCATCAAGAGATACAACTTTGGTATAAAAAATATCATTTATCCGACACCGTATGAGAAAAATATGCTTTTTTCTAAGGAACAAGTAGTTGTGGTAAGTGTTTAATATGCTGCTAAAAAATTATATTATTTTTGAGCATCTTAATAACTTCAAATGAAAAACTGAAAACTAGAAAGTTGTATATCTTATCAAGAGCTACAATTTTCATATTAAAAGTATCTTTACATGATGCTATACAAGAAAGATACTATTTTTTTGAGGCTACGAGCCCTCATACGCGATTAATATGTTGCTGAAACTTAATATTATTTTTAAGCATCCGAATGATTCCAAATGAAAAAAAACTAAAAACTAAAAAGTTGTAGATCTCATTGAGAGCTAAAAGTTTACATAATTTTTTAAGGTAGAGCACTATAGCCTTTTTGCTCAAGGGCATTTTGGACTTTTTCCATTGGCTCACGAGGAGAGTTAACGGTGCTGAGAGTTGACGAAAGTGTCGGAAAGAAAAAATGAAATATGTGATAAATAGGAAAGATTTCAGATCTGGATGTCAAATAGGAAAACAAAAGCGTTAAATTTTCTAGTGTCCAATAAGAGATTTTCTCTTTTTTGTACTACTCCTACCTGTTTATGGCCCTATCGTAAGATTATACTACATCGTCGACATTGTGCTTACCCTAATATAGCCTTTGCAGTTGTGCTTATTTTATGCCCTTTTGCTGGGACTCCGTGCAAATAAAGAAAAGAAGTTTAAGAAAAAATAAAAAGAAAAGAGAAATTGTGAAAAGAACCCATGAGTTTGTGCACACTTGAAAACTTGAACAGCTTTCAATTGTCAGTTTCATACTAACAATTTTCACTTTTTTTGTTACTTCCGAGTACTTTTTATATTAGTATCTCCTATTTTTACACCGTTTAATTTTCCCTCATGGATGGTCCACATTTTATTCCAATGACTTTATAAAAATTCTCGTCACTACAAATAATCATTTAAATGAAGAGGTGGTTTTTTGAAAAACGCTAACTTACATAAGGTTTTGAATGCAAGTCTTCCTAACCCGAAACTTGTTTTCTCTGAGCAGAGGATATACAAAGGGAGTCCTGGATGCTCTTCGTTTCCTCACACTGCAGCATCTAGCATCCAATCTCTCACCTGCACTGCACCCTCGGGCTCCCAAGTCAGGATCTCGCTGGTAGTGGTCGCTGCTGTCACCAAGCACTCACCGTCACCGGCGCTAGCGCTCTGGCCGCTGCCTTCTCCCGCGGGCTCTTGCATTGGCTTCCGCCGCCGTTGCTTCTGAGCTGAGCCTGTGCTTCCACCGCTCTGTGCTCCTGCCACTTTTCAACCCCAACGAAGTTTTGTGTAGACTTCGGTTTGAAGAAAAGCTTGGCCGACAACAACAATATATCATGGTATCATACTGTAAATTAATAAGATTCATTCGATCCTTGTTTTTACGATTCCTGATCTGTTGTACTTGTGCTTTCTAGTTTCTACCTTTTTAATAAAATTCCAGTAGGGGCAACCTCTCCTGTTTCATAAAAAAAAACATTCATTCGATCCCTGCGAATCACATCCCCTCTCATTCTCGTTTCGGTTGCACTTTCCACTCCACAGAAAACTGCACTGTCAAAAAAAAGTCCGTATGAACAACTGGAATTTTCATTTGTGAAAACAAAACCTCTAAATATGTTGATTTGGTTGTTTGTTTCAGGAGTGGTGAAAAGCACGCACTGTCAAAGCGAGAGCAAGCAAAGAATTTTGATTGTGAAAATAAAACCTCTAAATATGTTCGATTTCGTTCCATAAATCACAGAAGGTGCTTCGGTGGCATTGCAAAATTCCAATCATCGTTCTCATCCAGCAGGTGCAGGTGTGGTCAACCCCGACGCCGTGCCGCAGCATGCGTCACATCTAGTTGGCCTCTGCTCCTGGAATTTCAGATCTCGCTCTATAAATCACTGAAATTCAGCAGCCTGTTTTTTTTCCCGTCATATCTGACAATGGTTGCGGTCGGGGAGTTGCTAGTCTCTGTCGCGCTGAAGACGGTTTTGGGCAAGCTGGCTAACCTCGCCTTCAACGCCACCTGGAACGACATTGCTTTGCAGCTGAATTTCATTAAAGATTTGAAGAGCATCAAGGACAACCTGTCCTTTATCCAATCTTTCCTTGAGGATGCGGAGAGGCAGTCGTCAAGGCTGGAGAGCGTCCGTCACACGCTTAAGAAGCTCAAGGCTGCGGCTTATGACTTGGAGGATATGCTGCTACTCTTCGAGTCCTGGACCACCGCCCACAAGGGTGAAGGCCTTGCGCCTAGCGCCAAGGCTACAAAGGTTTAGAGCATTTCCAAGAGTTTCCAAAACCCATTCCCAGTCTAGATTTTTTTTGGCAAGATTGAAAAAACTGCTCTAGTCTACCCCAACTTGCTTGGGACTGAAATGCTATGTTATTGTTGTTGTTTCTTGAAAAAACTGCTCTCCAACAACTCTCTACCTCAACTCTCAATCTTTCCGCACTTGGGAAATTCGACCTAATCGTGCGCATATCCATGGGCCAATCTAAAAGTAGAATGGACGTGGGGAAGAATAAAGAGTAGGACAGCAAAAGAGAAGAAAATATAAAGTGGTTAGGATGATTTAGAAATAGTCCGTGATTCTTGGTGTAAAATTGTCTTCTATATTTTATGACCGAGATTTTGGAAACTGTTGGAGGAACCCAACAAATATGCTCCCAACTTTCTTTAGCCACTTGGAAAATATATTGATTTACAATTGCTTTTTTAGGAACTATTGGAGATGCTCTTATGATGAACTTGTTTCTGACCCATGCCGTTTATTGACAACAGGGGTTAGTTTTAGGGTTAAGTACACTTTACAACCCTGAACTTGCGCCAAAGTATGATTTTCAACCTTCAACTATAAAACCGGTCAAGAAACACCCTCCAACTATCAAAACCGGACAACTTTGGTCCTTGGCCGGTTTCAAAAGCGATTTTCTATTTTGGGGGGCGCGAAATTTTTAAATTATTTTTGAGCATCTTAACGTTCTCAAATGAAAAAACTCAAAACTACAAAGTTGTAGATCTCATTGAGGTCTACAATTTACATATAAAATTATCTTCATCCGACATCGTATCAAAGGGTTTTCTATTTTTTGAAATTTGAGTCTCATTTGCGACAAAATATGGTGCTGAAATTTTATATATTTTTTCTAGCATCTTTTTGTCCTCAAATGAAAAAATTAAAACTATAAAGTTGATATCTCATCGTCGGTCTACAATTTACATATAAAATTATCTTCATCCGACATCGTATTGAAGGTTTTCTACTTTTTTGAATTTTGAGTCTTTTCGCGAGAACGTTAAGATGCTCAAAAAAATAATTTAAAATTTCGGCGCCTCCCGAAAATAGAAAACCGCTTTTGAAACCGGCCGAGGACCAAAGTTGTCCGGTTTTGATAGTTGGAGGGTGTTTCTTGACCGGTTTCATAGTTGAAGATTGAAAATCATACTTTGGCGCAAGTTCAGGGTTGTAAAGTGTACTTTACCCTTAGTTTTATGCTTTGAAAGGTTGAAGATGCCTTATAAAATGAAAAGAATGAGGGAAACCATAGAGGAGATAGTAGACCTTCAGAATAAATTCAACTTCATAGAACACACTAGCAACAATGATGAAGAAGTAATCAGGAAACGGGAGACATTCTCAGATGCTGATGAAGTCCCTGTTGGGAGGATGGAAGAAAAAGAAAGATTAATCAGTATGCTGCAAACAGATGACTCAAACTTCCTCATTGTTTTTATCTCTGGCTTCGCAGGAGTTGGTAAAACTACTCTTGCCCAGATGGTCTTCAATGATGATAGAACGAGGCAATTCTTTGAAATCCAAGCATGGGTCTATGTCTCTGTAAAATTTGATATCATGACCATCGGTCAATCTATCATATCCCAACTAGATAAATCAAGCAGCCCTGCTGGTATCACCTTACAAGCTACACGCGACCGCTTGAAAACTATTTTAGAAGGGCAACAGTTTCTTATTGTTGTCGATGACATATGGGAAGAAGATCCACATGAGTTGGAAAAACTAAGGACATTGCTGCGGGGTGCTAAAGCAGGCAGCAAGATCATTGCAACCACACGCAGTGTAAAAGTTGCTAAGCTAATGAATGGGAGTTTGACAATAGAATTAGGTGCTTTACCGGACAATTACTGCTGGGAGTTGTTCCGAGCAAAGGCATTTCCATATGGAAAGGTGGATGTTGATAAGGAAAGTACAGGAAGACAGATAGTCAAGAAATGCAGAGGAATGCCACTAGCAGCAATTTCTCTCGGATACCTTTGCCGGACAACTAATGAATGGAAAGCTATACTGGATAGTGATATCTGGGCAGAAAATGGAGATGATGGACGGTTACTCAAAGATACGAAAGTGCTACCATCACTGAAGCTTAGTTATCAATACATGTCTTATCATCTCAAGCTCTGTTTTGCATATTGCGCTGTTTCTCCCAAAGGCTGGTATGTAGAGAAGAGTAGCTTGATTCAGCAGTGGATTTCTCTTGGATTTGTTCAGCTCCATGGCGAATCGTTCACTGCACAACTAGCTGGAGAAAGATACTTTGAGGATCTTCGTGAGATGTCTTTTCTTCAGGATGTAGCAGGAATGTCCCCAACTGTAAGACTTTCATTTTTCTTTACTTTATTGGAGATCAAAGTTCTATTTACATAACCTCATCTAGTTCCATTACCCTTAACCCCCCTGCCAAAAAATGGCAATCCACGTCGATTCATCTGTACATGATCTAGTCACCCTCTGTTAGAGGTATTTTACCTCCATGATTCTATTATTGTATTCCATGTACTCAAATCTTATAGAAGTCACATAGGATTCTAATATGTTATTTTAGATATAAGGACATTTTGGGTTAGATATGTGCGTAGTAGTGGTGTGGGCAATTCCTCAAAATGCATATGGGTACTTTGATTTTCCACACCGAGGTACTTTGATTTTGTTCTCTTATTAAATTAGTACTGAATTCTAGGCCGTGAGAATTAATGTGGAGGGTTCTTTTGTTGAAGAAATACTAAGATAATATATTTTGAATCAATGTTATTAAATCGGCTAATTGTTGCTAATCGCCTTGGTACGGATAAGGATGATCAGGACGATTAGTCGACTATCAGGACGATTAATTGACCTCTTATCGGTCTAGTCGTCCATATAATCGTCCTGTATATAGCAAGACATATATCATATCTATATGGTATATATACCATATACTGTATACTTATATAGTAGAAATAGAGCATCAAGACTATGTTTCTGGTTAGTTGGCGGAGAGAGTGAGGAGGAGGGGAAGAGATGCAGCTGCACACACAACAAGTGCAGCCGACGGCTGGAGGCTAGGGGTGAGGACTGAGGAGGTGAGGGAAAGAGTGGGGGAGAGGTATAAAAGAGAAAACCTAACGGGCCTGGCCCAAACAGAGCTAGCCCAGTCTGAAGTACACCTTATCGGACGATTTATCGCGATTAATCGACGCTAAATCTGACGATCAGGTTTCTGATCGCTCTGATCGAATCGGAGTGCCTAACCGAGTACTGTACTAGGTACCGATAAGGACGATTAATCGGACGATCTGATAACATTGTTCTGAGTACATTAGTACAGAGCATGTTAAATTCTACTAAACAAATGGGTTAGGCATAGCTTTAATAACGAGGGATACATGTGTCTTGTCCTATCCGTCTTAAACTGTCCTAACAATCTCAGAATCCCTTTGTATAGTTGTATTTGTGAGGAAGTATTTAGTGAGAATTTTCTCTTAAAGTTCATGCCCAATTTATGTTTACTTTTGTTTTTTTTTAATAATATACATGATGGTTAATATATGTCTGAACTGCAGAAGGTAGTTGACTAACATGGGTACATTTCACTTTTCAGCCGTTTGCAAGATATAGCAAACCTCGAGGTGTATTATTACAGATGCATGATTTGGTTCGTGAGCTTGCAAGATTAGTTGCGGGTGACGAAGTTATTGCCTTTGACACTAGGCAGCAAAATCCTCCTACAAATATAGACTACTGTCGATACATGTTGCTCTCAAACTTATGTGACTCATCCCCATCTTATTGGTCTATTCCTAGCACAGGAAGAGCTCTTCATTTTAAGGAGTGCAGCATTGTTCAGACTACTTTAAAGTCTCTGATGGGGGCTGAATTCTTACGTGTGCTTGATTTGAGTGCATGTACTATTTCCGAGCTACCTGCTTCTTTAGGCAATTTGAGACTCTTGAAGTTCTTAAATATATCTGGAATGCAAACTGGTCTGCTGCCTAAGTCCTTGAGCTCATTGCATGGTTTACAAGCATTGAACCTTTCTGAAAATACCTGCCTTGTTGAACTTCCCAGTTACATTTCTGAATTTGTAAACCTACAATATTTGGATCTACATGGCTGCTCAAATCTTAAAGAGCTTCCACAGGACATTCATAAACTTGAAGAGCTACTACACCTGAACGTATCAAGATGTGGTAGCCTACAATCACTGCCTGAAGAGTTTGGGGATCTCCGGAAACTTGCATTCCTCGACCTTTCGTATTGTTCTCAGCTTCAAACGCTGCCTTCAAACTTTGGTGGCCTTCAGAATCTTTCGTTTCTCAATCTATTGCACTGTTACAAACTTTGTGAGCTGCCTGATTATTTCATTTACCTTGCAAATATGATACATCTAAATATGTCCTTCTGCCACAAGTTGAAACTACTGCCTAGTGGGTTATTTAAGTATATGAAGAAGCTTCTGGTTTTGAATTTGTCTGGTTGTACCTCTCTTGAAGTTCTTCCTGAATTGTGCTGGAATGATGCTGGCTGCCTGATGTTGGAGATTTTGGACTTATCAGATTGTACTAATCTGGCTGCCCTTCCGAATTCCTGTACCAGTCTTTGTGAGCTCCGGTGTTTAAATCTATCAGGTTGTTCTCGAATTGAGAACTTCCTAAATTTGATACCGCACTGGAAATTTGGTAAGTTGGAGTACCTAGATCTCTCCGAGGTCGGTGCAAAAGCTTATTCTGAAGATCCAGGAACCTCTGCAGGAAATTTAGAGAGTTCAGAAGACCCTAATAGAGAGCTAGAGTTAGGTATGCTGCAAGAGGATATCGTCACCCAACGTTTGGTTTGTCTTAAATACCTGTCAGTTGGAGGGTTCACGCTCTTCTCAGAACAAGGCATTGCAAGCTTGGTAGACCTTCTAACCTTGCCCAACTTTGATGTACGTACACAGCCCGGTGACAACCACAGCAATATTATGCTTCTCCATCACATCCTGGATCTCACACAACATCAGCTAAACATCAAATGCCTTGAGAATGTGGTTTCACCAGAGGAAGCAAAGCAAGTGGAACTGGGCAGGAAGCAACAACTTCATTTCTTGAGTCTTGAATGGTCCTATACAGGATCTTCTATTGAGGGTGAGCATCAAGCTCAGGCCAAGGCAGTGCTGGAACATTTGAGGCCCCATCAAAATTTAAGGCGCCTCTCTATAAAAGGCTACAATGGTGACGGATTTCCCAAATGGATTAATGAGATAAGTGATACACTTCCGTATCTGGTGAAAATTGTATTCTCCGAATTCAATGGATGTGATCATATTCCTACACTGGGACATTTACCAAATCTACAGGAACTGGAAATTAATAATATGCCCCTGCTTCATCATGTGGAAATTGTATCATGCAAGAAGCTAAGAAAATTGACATTGGTTAGACTGCGAGTCAACGCCACTATACATATATTTTATGATGACAACACACAAGCACAAGTCAATGAGGTGGGATTAATTCATAACCGTGATGAGGAAGAGATAGAAACAGGAAAGGAGATTGACAAATTACCCCCTTCTCTTCCTGTAGGTAAACCAGTGAAAAGAAAGGGTAAGTGTTTTCTGAAACTGAAAGCTCTATGGCATGGCATGTCGAGAGAAATAAAGAGAACGCAGGACATTGGTTCTGGAAATGGCTCATCGGCAGTTACAAGCAGGCCGGCACTACCCCCAGGCCCATCTAATGAAGAAAGAAGAGAACAACCAGCAGTCCCTGTCCTTGATTATTTGAAAATAGAAAGCTGCGAGCAACTAAAACTCTTTCCATATGCCCCACTGTGTAAAGAGTACTTCATCAAGGGTAGCAGCCCCAGCCTTGGTCTAGATATGCATGGTATGTTGCATTGGACTCCCACATTCAAATCAAAAATTTGTATTAATGGGTGTTCACTAGATGACGTTGAGCAATGGATGGAAGTTATAGAGGAAATGGAGTTCTCTCGGGGAAGGTACGGACGGGGGTTCCATTTCAACGAGGAAATGGAGGAACATGGGTCTCTTTCCAGAAGGTATGGGTATGGACAGGAGTTCCGTTCCAGGACGTGCAAAAAGGAGTCTGGTTCTGGAACCCTTCGGAAACTCAAGATAACAGACTGCGAAAGTTGTCATATTCGGATTCCTCGACTGTTGCTTCTATTCACATCTCTAGAGGAGCTAGAATTGGATGGCTTGAACACCATTGATAATAACTTGGAGTCAACTCTGTGCAAAATGACCAGATTGGAAAAACTGACTATACCGTTTCTTGAACTTCCACCAGAAGAAGAAACAAAAAACATTATTCAAACACTTTCCATTCATCATATTCCATATGTCAATACAAGAGAGGTAAGTCACCTATATTTCTTTTTCTTAGAAAATCCTTTTTTTTTCTATTCCTTTTTGTTTCATTGTATTAGAGAGAGATGGAGTGGTCCTCAATAGGATCCATACTCATACGAGGACCAAATATGAGTAAGGCAATTATACAAACTCAGAACTCTTGCACATAGCAAACACACGACTCAACCTACCCAACTGCCCTAGATTGCAAAAGTAAGACCTAGCCCATGCAGTTTCTTTGCACTAACCATGCACCATAAGCTGTGCTACGGTCCTTCAGCTCACACAAAATCGTGTTAATTAACCCAATGAGAAGCCTCCTCAAACACACAAGCATTTCTATATTTCCAAATAATCCAGGCGTCGAACATAATTAGAGCGTTCACTCCTTTTTGTGCTCCTTTTTAACTCTTCTTATCGTGTTATGCCACCAATCTACAAAGCTCATTTCGTTTTGTCGGGGTACTAAATCTGTTAGGTCCAACTCTTGAGCAATCTGAACCATATATATATACCTATCTTGCCACAACACATGTTAAAAGGTGTTGTATGGTCTCATCTATTTTGGATGAGAGAGGGCCCCTCTTAGCAAAGCCTATCTTCTGTCCAACACCAGTTTCGTATTGCCAACCACAGAAACATTTTGCATTTGGCCAGGGCCCACGACTTCCATAGGCGACGCCAAGGCTCAAAGAAATTGTCTAATAGCAGCCCAAGACAAGATCTGATCCGTTTCTGCATCATAACATCTTAACCTAATTTTGTGTTTCAACTTAACAAGAGCAGATAGAATTATGTAGCATTATTGCTTACACACAAGCAATTTCTAAACAAAGCAGAGAACAGCCTGACCAATTTGTGTGTTTAAGTATCCTAGTTTGTTACAGATTGTTTTCCTATCCAATTTCGTATCCTTCTCAGATTAATTTTTTGTTTCTTTATTGAGAATTTTCCCTAATAACCAAATACTTAAAATTTGAGGGTAATTTGTACACCATTTGGCAGTGCCCCACCTCTAAGAAAACTAAGTGGATCGTATTACCTATCATTACTTCATTAGTAACAGACCAGTTTCGGGCCTGACCCAAATTAAGGCCACATTTGATGAGTCCTAACATGAACCATACTTGCAATGTATTTTAGAAGGTTTAGGTTAATTTTAACAGTATGAAAATATTTTAAAATCAAAAGGCCCAAACAAGTTTCGAAATAAGGGATTTGCTATTTTCCAGGTGCCTGAAAAATAACATCCATTCAGGCAATGGCTGTGAGCCATCAGATGAAGATCTAACGGGTCTAAATTCACACAAAGAAAACTAACAATAAACAATTCTTTCTATAGTAAGACAATTACAAAATTATGATCTAAATCGACATAAAGACAATTAACAATAAAAGATTCTCTCTATAGTAAGACAATTACAAAATTATGACCTGAATTGACACAAATGATGTACGAATCTTGAAGCAAGATCAAAGGATGACGTCGTCACCTAAACCAAAAGCAGATTTCAGGTGCATGCCTTTTAGGAAAAGTGTCGAAATAAATGTATGGAATGACAGCCCTCCTTGTCCTTAGACCCTCCACAGTGTGTGTCTCCAATGATGCCTAAAGCCGAGAGATAGTGTTTTAGGCATCACTTTCACCACTACAACACGTGATGCTAAATTCAAGTGGTGTTGAAAAAAAATGGGAACAATGTAAGTCTAGGCTTGGGTTCTAACTCACGCAGTACATAGCAAGCAGAGGAGTTGGAACATTTTTTTTTTAGATAATGGAAAAAGAGGAGTTGGAACATGCGTGCTGAAGAAACATGGAGAGAGAAAACAAACACATGGTGAGTCTAGGAGTGATGCCTCATGCTGTGGCATGGGAAGAGCGACTCCTTTTTTAATGTAGGGGCTCATTTTTAGTTTTCTGGCAGCACAACGTTGTGGAGTACATTAGCTCCCCACATATCCAATGGCACTATTGCCGCCTGTTGTACCATCACCTGCCTGTTCCAGCAGTTCACTGCAACATGTGATTCAGGATTACTCAATCGGACAACATCCATTTAAGACCGTTTAAGATTCGACGGTATGCAAAAGGGCTCTCGATAAAGTTCAATTCGTTTTAATCTCAAACAGTTAAAGCAGGTATACATGCCAAAAAAATATTTTATTATCTATGTGCAAGTTTAATCTTGAATTTAAACTAGCAATCATACACGTGCGTTGCAATGGGTATCATTTTTTTCATTCATTCTTCCTGCATGTTTCTTACTGGTTTTATTCACCCAACTAAACTCCAAACACAAAACATTTTGTTCTACAACCAGAGGACGGTGAATAGTCATTTCTAAAACTAATCGCTAGGCTAGCCAAAACAAATATGGAATTAACTAATCGTCTAGCCATGACTTCACTCCTCTATCGTCTAATATTTCAAGCACCTTATAAAAAATCCTACACAAGGTATAACTAAGGTGTCGAACTAGTGAGAGCTCACTTACACAAGTCTAGTTTTGTAAGGTCACACAAACCTAAGCAACTAAACTCAAGCAAGCACATGGAAGCTCCTACACATACTTGTGAGCAAAGATAAACACTAAAACTAGCTACACTAGTAAGCACTACACTAGCACTACTACTAGAGCTACACAAGCACTAGAGAGCAACAACACTAGCACAAGATATTGCAAGTAAATAGCTAGTGTTTAAAGGATGCAAACTGAGCGGGATACAAATGTTGACATAATGATTTTTATCTCGATGTTTGGTGTCCCCGTTGAGGCAAGCCCAAGGTTGGTGCAGGCCCTCTTGCTAGGTATTAAACACTATGCTTGCAATTCGCCCTCAAGGTGAGCTCCCAATGTGAGCACTAGCACTTGACCCGCCCGGACAACTTGGCGCTTTTCACACCTCGCTTCTACTAGAGTTGCTCTTCGTGATCTCTCGAGGGGACGAGCACAAGAGCCCTTACAATTGTTCTCTTCGGAGCACCGCTCACCTTCTTGCATGCTTCAACGGAGTCTCTTGCCACAGAGCCGTCTAGGAGGTGGCAGTCTCCAAGAGTAACAAGCCCTCAAGCTTGCTAACTAGCTCATAGTGCCACTAGGTGTTATCTCTCTCAAGTAAATGCACTAGATCACTCCAATCTCACCACGAATCGCAATCTCAACTATGAATATGTGAGTAGAGGTCTAACTTTGGCTCCTTTAGATGTGGGTGTGACCCCTTGGCTCTAGCAAGCACAAAATGAGCTGGCCACCCCTCTATTTATAAGCCCACAAGCCAAACTAGCGGTTGCAGCCTTGTTGCAGTTTTTTTGGGAGCACCGGAAATTACGTTGAACCACCGGAGAAGACCACTAGAGAAAAGGGTCTGACACCTGTCAGTCATCCAATGGTCACGTTTAAACTGTCACTTGACCATTGGAGCTCCTTTTATCCGGTGCCCACTGAACTAATCCAGTGAGGCCTACGTGCCCTCTGTTAAACTGGCCATGGTGATCGCTTTCTCTGATGGAGACAACTAGGCAACCGCCGGACTTGTCAGTGGCCCCATAAGCTATTTGCTGGGCAAGCCAAGGGGTTCAGCCCCTCACTAGAAAACTCCAAAGCCTGGCACCGGAGAATGCGCCCTAATCATTTGAATTCTCCACCACGTATCAACCTATGGACCGCATTCTCCGATGCGGTGCAAGCCAGCACCATAGGAAATCCAGTGCCTCCCCAACATATTAAATAACACAGGGTAGGACACTAACTACTTTCTTCGGTGGTCTCTGCAGACCAGCATCAGACTATTCTACTGCCTACAAAGACACTCCTCCGAGCTCTGTTTGAAACCCTTTTTCAAATATGCTAACTCCACAAATGTTGATCAACGTGACAAAAACTCCTTTACCACTAAGTTAGCATTTTCAAAGGTTTTGATCTTGTTCCTTTCCTCATCACTCGATTTAAATGCACCATGTGTTAGATCTCACCTAATAGCATAAGATAACCGATTAGCTAACAAGAATGCCCATCTTGATAGTATAGCTATCTATCCTAAACCTGATGAAGCACTTCTCTACTCAGCCTTAGACCGGTGAAATGAAATGCCCTACAAATACACATTTGCTTATACATTTCGTTCCATTCCATCTCCATGTTGGTGATACCAAACAAGCATCCAACCTTCATCTTCATCAAATGATGAACATTGGTCATCCATGAGTGTAGGCAACCAGCTACCTGTAGGGTCGAGATGGCGGACTAGAGGGGGGTGAATAGTCATTTCTAAAAATTAAATCACCGGCTAACCGTGATATATGTGGAATTAAAACTATCGGTCTAGCCAAGACTACACTCCTCTATCTAAGTTCTCAAGCACCTTAAAAAGATCATAATTAGGCAATAAAGGTGTCGGGCTAGCTAGAGCTCACCTAAACAATTCTAGGAGCAAGGTCACATAAACCTATGCCACTAGTACTCAAGCAACGGGGGAGCTCCTACACAAACTAGTATGGAAAAGCACAAAGCCTAAGCTTACTAGCAATCCTCAATAACAAGGCTACTCAAGCCAAATTAGAGAGCTCAAAATACTTAGCTACACAAACTAAGCAAAGTAACTAACGAGGCTACTCAAGCCAAATTAGTTACGCAAGGGAGCTACTACTATGTTACACAAGCAAGAAGGTAACTAACAAGCTACACAGGCTAACTAATTACAAGTGCAACTACACATGCACAATATATAAGAAAGTAAATACAAGCTTGTGTATGGGAATCGCAAACCAACGGGAAGATGATGGCACGGTGAACTTTATCCCGAGGTTTACTTGTTTGCCAACAAGTTAGTCCCCGTTGTGTCGACCGTTCACTTGGTTGTTCAGCGAGCTAATAGGCATTTCACAAGCCGAGCCCACATGTTGGGCGCCGTAAGAACCTACCCAGAAGTGAAGATAACTCAGTGACACACTCTACTACAGTTACTCTTCGCGGCTCCCACGGGGCGAGCATAATACCCCTCACAAATCCTTCTCTGGAGCACCGCACAATCTTCTTACATGCTTCACAATGGAGAACCCACCATCAAGCCATCTAGGAGGTGGCAACCTCTAAGAGTAACAAGCACCACCGGCTTACAACTCAAACACCTAGTGCCACTCGATGCAATCTCACAATGCAACGCACTAGAATCACTCACTTGCAATCAAATCAAGCTCTTGCAAGCACAAGTGAGTTAGAGGGCTCCCAAGCATACCTACACAAGCCACCCAGGCGTGAGGGTGCTGAGCAACCAGCCCAAAGCTGGCCAATGCTTGGTTAAATAGCCCAAGGGCTCAAAAGAGCCGTTGCACCAAAACCTACTCAGGGGGTCCGGACCGAACTCTCCTCAGAGGGTTTGGACCCTGCACTGTTCATGGGTCCAGTCCACTGGATCACTCTGCGCATCACCTAGAATCAAAGGCGAGCGTTGGAAGCCAATGGCTACCTTGATCACGTGCACCACCTATGGACCGGACGCACCGGAAGATCGACCAAATGTGCCTCCACCCGAGTCCAGTCACAATCCAGAGAGCACCCGAGAGAGCTAAAACACTCTGGACCCGGTCCGATTCCGCCGACCAGACCCAGCAATCGAGTCTGGTCCGTCTGCGCCCTCTCGCCACCACACCTCATGCCACCACGTGGCTTAACCAAACACGTGCATAGGGGTAGCGTCGCGTCCGGTCTGGACCTGCACCAGGGTCCGGTCCAAGCCTCAACACCGCATCTCTCTGCTGTCATCGAACGGACTCAGCGAAGAAGGTCCGAACGCCTAAAACGCCAGGGTCCGATCAAGACTGCCACACTGCCCTTCACCTAGGGTTTGCCACGAGACCCGCCTGGGCAGAGTCCAGTCCAAACCATTCTAGGGTTCGGTCGCCCTAAACTTCTCCTTTTCTTCTCCAAGTTGAATCTTTTCAACTCCAACTTCTTCTCCTTTGCAAATGTGCTAACACCACCAAGTGTACACCGTCATGTGTAAGTGTGTTAGCATTTTTACAATCATTTTTCAAAGGATTATCACTCAATTCACCATGCCACTCGATCCTAGCAACAATGCAAAGTTAGATTACTCGAGTGACACTAGATGACCGATATGCAAACAAGTTTGACCCTCTTGATAGTATGGCC